TATGCTTCTCTTCCTATGAATAAGTCTAGATTTTACTGTGAAATAAGGCAATCACTGTTAGATTTTTTGATTGAAAAGACATTTTATTTTTTTGTCTTTAAAAAAATTTTCAATTATAAGCCAGGTGAGGTGGGCACATCCTTTAATCCCAGTACTTGGAAGGCAGAAGCAGGCAAATCTCTATGAGTTCAAGGCCAGCCTGGTCTACATAGTGAGGTACAAGACAGCCAGAGCTATGCAGAGAGACCCTGTATCACGCAACCCCCTCCACTAAAATTTAAAAATATTATTATTTTATTTACTGTCTAGGGGTATTTTACCTGCATATATATGCAACAGATGCCTGGGAACTGGAGTTACAGACAGTTGTGGGCTGTTTTGTAGGTGCTGGGAATTGAACCTGGGTCCTTCTGAATGAACAGACAGTATTCTTAGCCACTGATCCATCTCTTAAACTCTATCTTTTGTGTTTAATAGGAGACAGAGTCACTGTCCTTCAGCATTCTAAGATACATTGGCATTTGGGATACGGAAAGGTATTTGCAGACCGACAAGGAGGCTCAGCAGGTTAAGGCATTTGCTGTCCAACCCAAGTACCTGAGTTTGATCTCACATGATGGAAGGAGAGAACCAGCTTCTTCAAGTTTTTAACATGTGCACACAACATGCCAACTCATAAACTCTAACACACACACACACTCCCTCCATCCCCGTCCCTCTCAAAAAAAAAAATTTACAAAGGTGTTTGCACCGAAGCCTCATTTGCATTTTCATTTCTTTCTCTCTGTTCCCCCTAGAAACAGGTAAGCGGCAAGACCCTCCATATTGTGCCTCCCAGTATGGTGTGTGTGATGTGAAGTCCCCACCTCCCTCTGGTTGTATTCCTACCTTTAAACATAACTTGAGCTGGGAAGCCTGAGGTTAGAGGGCTGTGAGTTCCAGGTCAGTTAGGGCTACTGTCTCAAAAATAATCAGTCAGAGACAAGTCAATAAAGGTTAGGACTGATATGTGATTGTAGTGTAAGATTGGGAGTTCTCTTACACGGGATAATGGTGTCATAGTTTTACAGAATGCCCCCTCTTTGATTTTTAAAATTTTTTTTTATTTATTGTGTATACAGTGTTCTGTCTGCATTTTGCCTGCACACCAGAAGAAGCCATCAGATTTTATCATAGATGGTTATGAGCCACCCTGTGGTTGCTGGGAATTAAATTCAGGACCTCTGGAAGAGCAGTCAGTGCACTTAACCTCTGAGCCATCTCACCCATGCCCCTCCCCCACCCCCTTGGACTTTTACCAATCTGAGAACAATAGCTGTGGAGAGAATTAATGCTGTCTCTAACTAGTGGATAAGCATAGGTAGAAAATATTTAAATGGGGAGAGAAAGAAAGCCTGGCAAACAACCATCACCAAATAAAGGCTTTGTGCATATGAAGCATACACTCTACTGACTGAACCACATCCAGCCATATAACTTTAATATATAAAGTTCCCATTTGTTTATAAGAACCTGGCTTCCGGGCCAGAGAGATGGCTCAGCAGTTAAGAGCACTGGCTGCTCTTCCAGGGGTCCTGAGTTTAATTCGCAGCAACCACATGGTGGCTCACAACCATCTGTAGTAAGGCCTGGTGCTTTCTTCTGGCCTGTAGGCATATATGCAGGCAGAACACTGTAAACATAATAAATAAATAAATCTTGAAAGAGAGAGAGAAAGAAGGAAAGAAGGAAAGAAAGAAAGAAAGAAAGAAAGAAAGAAAGAAAGAAAGGAAAGAAAAGAAAAGAAGGAAGAAAGACAGACCCTGGCCTCCTGTAGTACCTTGACTTCGTCTTTTGTTTTTGCTTTTGGAAACAGAGTTTCTCTGTGTAGCCCTGGCTGTCCTAAAACTCACTCTGTAGACCAGGCTGGCCTCGAACTCACAGAGATCCACCTGCCTCTGCCTTGCGATGCTTGGAATAATGGAATTAAGTTGTGGACCACCACCACCTATCATACTTTGTCATCTATAGGTGAGACACCCAGAAAGCAAGCCTGTAGTTTTCTGTTGCCTTAGTGAAGGGACAGTGACCGTATGAAGTAGAGCCAAAGGAGACAGCTGTTTCCCCAATGCATTTTGAGCCAGTTGCTGCATTTTTAGTTCAATTGCCACCTATACTCCCAGAACAATCTGTTCCTGCTGTCTCTAAACTTTGGGAGGAGTTGAAACAGGCAAACCTAGCAAGAATTTGGCTTTCCAGATTGTTGCTTCAAAATCCCTAATTTCAGGTGTTCCTAGTAACTACAGTTTGACTGTTTAGGAGTTTTACAGTTCCAAAACACTGTTGCTTTTGACTCTTTTTCTCTCTTCTGCATGGATTTATGCATTTTTAACGAGGGCACTTTAAAGACATTTTATTGGGTTTTCAGGAAACAGCTCAAGGCGAGCTCATGCGATCAATCTGTCATCCTTTACTAGAGGTCAGCCCAACGCTCTTTAGTCTCTTCCCCATCTACCAGTTTGAAAGTTATTCTCCCTTTTTACTCATTTAATGGGTTTTCTTTAAAACTTTAATAGTGTTGTCTGACGTAAAAAGTGAGAGATGATCAATACCCCACCTTCTCCCTGGATAATGCAAGCCTGGAGGATGCTTTAGCTTTGATCTGTCCTTCCCCATTTCCTACATTCCTTTGGTCTAATAGTTTAGTTCCTCATTGTTCGAAGTTGGCCCATCATCAATATATATATTTTTAGCAACCCCACTTTTTTGATATGTGCTAGACCCTATACTAAGAAAACTATAGTGAATTAGACATGCTAAACTACATATGGATATACCTTGTTGGATAGAACTACATGAAATTGTCAATATTTCAGTTTTAGTCATAAAAAATGATTTCATTCATATGCATCCCAAAGCAAATACACACATGCCTCCAATCATCCCAAACACGTCCATCCACCCTGAAGCCAGGAGGTGTGGGCAAGCAATGACTATGCCTCATATTACCCTTCCTGTTTGTCCAGGTTCTGACAGAAAGACAGAAGCTACTCCGTGTGTTTCAAGCACGAAAGTCTTCAGTACAGATATGAAGAACCCTTGGGAACTGGAGAGACAGCTCAGCAGGTCAGAGCATTTGCTGCGGAGGACGGGGTTCAGGTCTCAGCTCCTGAGCAGCTTGTATCTGCTTGTGATTCCGGATCCAGGGGATCTGATGCCCTCTTCTGGCCTCCTGAGGCATCACCTGAGGCATCACCCCACCCCCTAAATACACAGATATTTAAAAAAAAAAAAAAAAAAAAAAAAAAAAAAAAAAAAAAAAAAAAAAAACCTCTTAGAAAGGAAAAAAAAATGTCAAGACTAGCTAATACAGTAAAGCAGGCCTGGACTGTAAATTTATTTAAAAGACATTATAATATAGGATAAAGCATGGCTATTAGCAGAAAGAGAAGTGTTCAAAAAATGCAATTGAGGAGAGAGGGAGAGTGGCCGTGTATGAATGGAGGTGAGCGGACTCATAGGAGGCCTGGAGCACTTAAGAGCAAGGATGGAGCACTCAGGTGTGTATGTGAAAGCCTATGGAGGAAGCGTTTCTGGGCTTCCAGGCTTCCCCTTCTTAGAAGCCCAGAGTGGTGGAGGAGTCCAGCCTTCCCTGTGAGGGAGGAGAATCCTTCCTGTCTAACCCCTGAGGCCCGGAATCTCAGATGCAGCTCACCCACCCTCCTTCAACTGGACCTGACTCCTCCAGCTCAATGCAGGGTTATTTCTCACATGGAGAGCCAGGAGGGTCTGTAGCCCTGTAAATGCTGGCTCTTCTCAGGCTGCCGCACTGGCCATGGTAGAGCAGATCAAGTCTGCCCTGATTCTAGCCAGTCATGGATACTGTTCCTTTGACTGGCTGGCTAGGGCAGAGTGCCCTGGGTAGTTGAGTAAGAGCAGGGCCCTCAGTAGACAAACAAGTGGTACCTATTGGCAGGCGGGTCAACAAGCAAGTGGGGAGGCTGGAGGTCACATGATTTGGGGGATAAGTTCTGTCCACTCTTAGTAAAGGCTCCAAGAAGCCACTTCCCAACTGGGCAGCGTCCTGAGCCTGGGAAGTTTATTAGTGCTCAGAGAACTGGGAGAAGGGGAGAGGATGCTCGGAGCCAACTGGGGTCATCCTTCTTTGAACCTCCACGTGGTGTTTGCTCAGAGCAATTGTTGTCAAGAGTCCCAGACTCCTGGAGTATAAAACTGAATGTCTGCTCTCTGTGCCCAGAACTGAGCAGGTAAGCCTGCATGGCAGTGGCATGGTGGGGGTGGTGGGGATGGTGGGGGTGGTAGCTGCCATTGTAGGAAGGAGCTGCTGGTATGGGCTCACAGAGTACCTGCCTCCTGCATCTTGGGTATGCCAGTTTCTCAGCCATGGAGTGGGCTTGGAGGCAGGAAGACAAACACACATGGGAGGTAGATTATCCCAAGGTGGGTGGGTAATCTCTGTAGTGCAGCCTGAGTTCCAGGATCCCTACTTTGTGACTGAGGTAAGGGACAACCTGCTCCTGTTGTCTGAGGAAGACATCTCTCCCATCCCAGCCCCATGCCCCAAGTACCTAGTTAAGATCTCTGGAGCCTTCAACATGATGTTACCTATACATGAGAGAAGGGTTATTGAGATTTGGAGTAGCTAGCCCCTAGATCAGGGGTTCAAGATCCTGTCCCTTCCTTTGCCCCTTCTCCTGATCAAGTCTCCGCCTACCTTTCTTCTCAGAGCGCATCGTGGTAAGCATGGCTGCAGTCATCACTTGGGCCCTGGCCCTCCTCTCAGGTGGGTCTTCCATCTGACTTCAGGGTGGGGTTGGGATGGGGGTTGGACTGGGAGCCCAGTCTTTAACCATCTCATCCTTCTCTGCAGTGTTTGCAGCTACTCAGGCACGGAAGGATTTCTTGGACTACTTCAGACAGAGCAGCGGGGACAAAGGCATGATGGGCCAGCAGCAGAAGGTGGCACGGGAGTGAGTGACCAGGACTCGGGTGTGGTGAGGGTCCCACACAGTCGTGTTGAGGAATGGTTCCTCAGCTCTGTGGTTCATATGGAAGCTGAGGGAGCCAGTCATGCTTGAACTGGCAAGCACGGCCTGGCCATGTTGGTCACCCTCTGCCCAAGTGTCCCTGGCCCTGCTGCTCTCTTTTCCATTGAGGTGTGGCACCTGAGATTAGCAGGCCATAGAAAGACAGGATGGTGTGACTCTTGACATGTCTGTGACGTCTTCTTGGATGGCGCCGTAGGACTGAATCGAATTGCCTACACAACGTCATGTTTGCGCTCTGAATGAGAGGATGTACTTGCCTGGGGTTAGGACTAAAGACCCTGGCTCTCCCTGCCACTCCTCCTGTCTTGGTGTCTACAGGGTATTGCTGGCCCATGACTCTGGGGCAAGGGGGATGTTTCAGGGCTAACAGTCTAATGGCCTGGTTCTCTACCTTTCTCCTCCAGGAGCACGAAAAATAGCTTGGAGCAAGACCTCTACAATCTGAACAATTTCCTAGGAAAGCTGAGCCCCTCAGGTGGGCCGGGGAAGGAGCCTCACCCACTGGCACAGGATCCAGAAGGCATGAGGAAGCAGCTTCAGCAGGAGCTAGGGGAGGTGAGGGCTCGCCTGGGGCCCTACATGGCTGCGAAGCACCAGCAGGTAGGCTGGAACTTGGAGGGCTTGAGGCAGCAGCTGAAGCCCTACACAGTGGAGCTGATGGAGCAGGTGGGCCTGAGCGTGCAGGAGCTGCAAGAACAGTTGCGTCTGGTGGGAGAAGACACCAAGGCCCAGCTGCTGGGAGGCGTGGACGAGGCGCTGAGCTTGCTGCAGGAAATGCAAAGTCGAGTGCTGCATCACACAGACCGGGTCAAAAAACTCTTCCACCCTTATGCCGAGCGCTTGGTGACCGGCATTGGGCACCATGTGCAGGAGCTGCACCGCAGTGTCGCTCCTCACGCGGCTGCAAGCCCCGCGCGACTCAGCCGCTGTGTGCAGAGCCTGTCCCACAAACTCACACTCAAGGCAAAGGACCTGCACACCAGCATCCAGCGCAACCTGGACCAGCTGCGCGAGGGGCTCAGTGCCTTTGTCCGCACCAGCGTTGATGGAGCCGAGGATGGAGCCTCCCCGGACCCCCAGGCAATCTCTGAGGAGGTCCGCCAGAGACTCCAGGCTTTTCGACATGACACCTTCCTACAGATCGCTGCATTCACTCGGGCCATTGACCAGGAGACAGAGGAAGTTCAGCAGCAGCTAGCACCACCCCCTCCTGACCACAGCGCCTTCGCTCCTGAGTTGGAACACCCGGACAAGGCCCTGAACAGACTGCAGAGCCGACTGGATGACCTGTGGGAAGATATTAGCTATAGCCTTCAGGACCAAGGTCATAGCCAGCTGGGAGAGCCCTGAGGATCTATCTACTGGCTCAGGTTCAATCCCCAGCTTTTTGTCTGGGAATCCTTGGATCCTGAGCTTCTAGCATGGCCTTATTGGTCAGAGGGTGGAGGGTTCTGCACAGCATAGGTGAGGCCACCTAATGGTGCTACCCCAACCTACCCAGCCTCCTCAGCTCCCCACTCAGGTGCATTACACTCGCCAGGTTTCGCAAACCCAGCTTCTGGTGCTCATTTGGGAAGCCGCACGAGTTGCAACATTTGGGGTGAAGGGAGTGGAAGGTTTTGTGTGTGTGTGTGTGTGTGTGTGTGTGTGTGTATATGCGCGCGCGCGCACGCGCACGTGTGTATGCTTGGGAGCCTGTCTGCAAGCCGACAGTGCTGGAAGCCTGTGCCACTATAATCTGGAGTTTGGCTCCTGTTACTTCTGGCTGCCTGATGGGCACTGTTAGAGCTGGGCCACAGAGAGGAGCTCTTGTCTTCCCAGGGCTGCCATCAGAGCTTCTGTCGGAAGAGGGCAGGAGGAGCACATGGTGGTGTGTGCAGACCCCACTAGCAGTGCTGCTGGCGGATCAGTGATGCAGCGGGGCAGAGCCCCTATTTCCTTATGTAACTCCGCACCCATAAAGGAACTGAGTTCTCCACACAGCGAGGACTTCTAAAACCCTGTAGGGAGCATGCTGTATGCCCCCTCCCATCTTCCATCTCCACATCCTGACTCTCAGGGTGAAACTTGACTTTTTGTTGAAATGAAATAGATGCTCGTGACGGAGGAAGTTTGTCGGCCTGGTGTGACTCTCATTGGACCGTGTCCGAGAGTAATTACCTTCCCACTGCCCCAGAACACGCCCACCCTCCTTTCTCAGCCCTCTGCTCGCTCTTTCTCATTATCCCTTTTCCGTTCCTGGTATGTCACAGGATCCTTGGCTGGCTGGAGCAGGCTTGACCCCGGTTCTGCACCAGTCTTGTTCCACACCCTACTCATCATAGCAGAGCGTGCATGGAATATAGCCTGTCACTGGACAAACATGCCCTCGTCACCTGCAATCCCTGAGGGATCCTGTCACCCTTGCTCCTGGTGTTCCGGATTCCTTATGGATTTCTGACCCTCTTCTTGGGATGCATACACTAACTTTTTCCACCCCCTCTCTGAGACAAGATCTCACTATGTAGATCAGGTTAGCCTCAAATTCATAGACATCTGCCTGCCCCTGTTCCCCCCCTCCCCCAAGTGCTGGGGTTAACAGTACACGCCACCGTGCTTGGAGAGCCCCAAACTCCTATCTCCCCTCCTTCGTACACACACTCAGCAAAGATCGCCTGGGACCAGTGAAACTGGATGAAGTGGGGGCAAGAGGCAAGCATAAAATCATCTGTCTTTTTATACTTCTCTGCCCTGCCCAGCACCCTGTCCTCCCTGCTCAGCCTGCCTCAGCCTACACTGCCCAGGATTCTTCATACTCCGCCACCATAGACCCTATGTGGAGCTGGGCTCCATGTGATCACACACTTATCACCCCTGATATTGTAAACGTAGTCAGTTTCAGCTACGGAACTGGGTCCATGACGTGGAGAGGAAGTGCTAGAAAGAAAACTTGAAAGAAACCGATAAAGCAGGGTGTTTTGTTAGGAAACAGGGAGAAAGAAATGGGTGAATGAAGTGGGGAAGAGAGGGAGTAAAAATAAGGATAAAATCAGGGCGGTGCTTATGAAGGCAGAAATAGGGAGCTGGGGGAACAGGGAGGGAAAGGGGGGAGGAGAAGCTGAGCCCTGGAGAGGGGACCCAAACAAGGTCTGGCTCATCATGAAGCAAGCAGAATTTGGAGGGCACAGCCAAGGGGATTCCAAGGCTAGCCAGTCCCCTGTCGTCAGGCATTTTTACATAGACTTGGGGACCAACGGTTAGGCTCCGTGTGTGGTGGAGACACAATCAAGGGAGCCAGACACTGACTTGACAGCGAGTTGCGGTTTTCCAGTCTGGCTACGGAAGTGCAGTCCGCAAGGTCCAGGAACCGGAAGTCAGATACTGACTTGGTAGGAGCAGGGTCTGTGGCCTCTTTAAGAAGGGGCGGGAACTTTCGGCAGCAGCTGGAGGAAGTGAGGTCACGCGGGCGCCGGAAGACGGAAGCTACTGCCTGAGCAGCGCGTGGGGGTGATGTCTGCCAGTGGGGCTGTGCAGCCCGGTCCCCCGGGGCCGGGGGCTGCAGTTGGGCCCTCGCCCTCCGCGGCCGGTTCGACAGCCACGGGGCCCTTGTTCCGGCCCCTCAGCGCCGAGGACGAGGAGCAGCAGCCCACCGAGATCGAGTCGCTGTGCATGAACTGTTACCGTAACGTGAGTCAGGGGCGCGGAGTCTGGGGCCAGGGGACCACCCTTCCGGGCACCCAGAGGTTGCCCTGGCGTATAGGGAGGACAAACGAGTTTCATTCATTCTTTCCCTCGCTGCTTCTGCTTCCTTAGGGCACGACGCGCCTTCTGCTCACCAAGATCCCCTTCTTTAGAGAAATAATCGTGAGCTCCTTTTTCTGCGAGCACTGCGGTTGGAACAACACGGAGATCCAGTCAGCAGGCAGGATCCAGGACCAGGGAGTGCGATACACTTTGACCGTTAGGGACCAAGAGGTGAGTATAGCCCAGAGGAGGCACTGTCCACGGTTTCAGAGAGAGCTTTGGAGGCCAGAGTCAACAGCTCCGGTCCGGGTCACCGCGCCTCCAGTAAATCCCTGTGGCCAAGCCTTGAGTATCCTCCTTTGGCAGTGGTATTGGTGGTGCTGCCCTGTACTCGGCGGTCCTGTGGTTAAAGTGCTTTGAATTTTGTGATGGAATGAATAGGCATTATTTTATGGGCCGAGTTCTCAGCTTCTGGGCATTCTGGTTCGCTCCGTATGTCCTGTCCTGAAGTACTTTGGACGTTTCTAAATGGAAGGGAGGAAGAAGAAACATCTAGGCTGGCGTCTGATAGAGAAGATGGGTTGGTTGCTTCCCAGAGAAGCCACATTGCTGACCTCTCTTGCTAGAACGTTTTTCCTTTCTGTCCAGGACATGAACAGAGAAGTGGTGAAGACAGACTCTGCCACCACAAGGATCCCAGAGCTGGATTTTGAAATTCCAGCCTTCAGCCAGAAGGGAGGTGAGTCTTGAGATCGGGTATGTGAGCTGTTCACACATTCCTGAAATGTTACCTATTTTCACGCAAAGCCTGGTTGCCAGGTCAGGCCTAGTGCCTTGTGTTTGGCCGTGCAATCATAGTGGATTTTTGGCCGTTCATGCTTTAACATGAGTAGAAAGTTATGGCAAAATTGCTTGAGAGTAAGGGTGGTTGGGAGTCCCAGTAAGACAGACCGTAGTGCACCTATTTTAGAACTTGACAGATGAGGGAAGCAAGGCCTGCAGAATTGAGGTAAAGCGCGAAGGGTCATGGGATAGCGAGCTAGCACTCATTTGTCTTGTGCTTCATTCATAAGCTCTGACCACCGTTGAAGGATTGATCAGCCGTGCCATCTCTGGCCTGGAACAGGACCAGCCCACACGACGGGTGAGCAGGGGTTTTCTCAAATTGCAGCAGCAAGGAATAATCATTCGTGTTAAAATAGAGTCAGCATTCCACGTAACTGAACTGTTGGAGTGGCATATTATTTGTATTTTGATAAATAAATCTTGTCTGAAGAGCAGAGGCAAAACTAAAGCCACTAGAGGTCAAGTAATGGTGGCACACACCTTTAATCCCAGGATTTGGGAGGCAGAGTCAGGTGGATCTCTGTGAGTTCAAGACCACCCTGGGCTGCACAAGATCAATGCAGAAATAAATGCAGGTGGTGGTGCTCACACCTTTAATCCCAGTACTAGAGGGAATATAAAATGAGAGGAGAGAGAGGCTGTCTATTTTGGTTTTGCTGTTGTCCAGCCTTGGTAGAAGCCAGACTTCTCTTATGGCTTGACTGCTTTGTTTTTCTGGTTTTTGGGTTGAACCCCAATATCTGTCTCTGGGTTTTTATTATTTGTGTTACAAACTGTGTCTGATCAAATGTTGGGGAACTTTCTGACAAAGCACGTAAGGGTGCTATTTCTCTCTGTCTCTCCCCCGTATATTCTCAGGCTTCACCTTAGACAGTGTAACATTACCTTGGAGAAGTCTTTCAGTTATCTACGGCCTTCTGGGTATTTTATAATCTATATTTATTATTACAGAAATAATGTAATTGCTCATATAGTCATCTGTCTCCCTAACTGACTAGAGAGCATGATAAGATTTTGAATTTTAAGGAGTATATTTTTAATTATGTGTGCTGTGTGCCTGTGTATGGGTATGAATATGTGATGGCAGATGCCTTTGTAGGCCAGAAGCAATGAATCTCCGTGGAGTGGAGTTACAGCTAAGTGGTTGAATAAGTGGGAAAATAAGCCCTACCTCCTGCCCCAGCACTGTTTATAAACCTCAGATTTGCTGCTGTGGCCCACTGTGAAATGTGGGTCCCGTGCTCCCACTCTAAGGTTGACGTCAGTGCACACTATACAGGTGTGAGAGGGTTGGGCATGAGGTGTACACCAGTCTGCTGTTTTCCTCTGTCCGTGGTAGGCAATGGAACATGCCATAGCTGAAAGAATTGATGAGTTCATCGGCAAACTGAAGGACCTAAAGAGGATGGCTTCCCCGTTCACTCTGGTAAGTACTGAGTGACTGCGGTTGTTTTCAGTGTAAGGAGGGAGGGCGAGGCCATTGACACTGAATTATCCCTCTAACTCCGAGAGTTCAGGGTCCTTCTTGACTCCATAGCAAGTTCTCGGCCCCGCGGGCTACACTGAAGCCCAGCCTCAAAATACAGAGCAACAGAAAACTGACTACGATTTGTCTGCTGTGGTCTGGTGGTGGATGGAGATTATATGCGGTTTGTTTTACTCTCTCCTCACCTGTCTGTTAGATCATTGATGATCCCTCGGGAAACAGCTTTGTAGAAAACCCACATGCTCCCCAGAAAGACGATGCCTTGGTGATCACACACTACAACCGAACCCCACAGCAAGACGAAATGCTGGGGCTCCAAGTAAGTGGACTGAAGGAGTCAGAGGAACACTCGGGGGTTGGCCTGTGTTCTGGGTTGCTTGAAGTCACTACAGATTTACTTTGATATTGTCGCCAACACCACCTGGCAGCACCCTATCTGAGTTCACTTGTGCCTCTCATCAAGCTCAGTTAGGATTTGTGGTGACCTTCATGTGTCAGG